CCCCAAAACCCCAAAACCCCAAAACCCCTCTATAACAAAATGATTAAATTATGAGAAAAATATGAATTATTAATAAAAAATTAATCCATTCTATATAATTAGTGATTTAAAAGAATTTTAAAATGTCACAATCAAAATAAGAGATCCAAGCCAAAAGAAGGAAGTCTCAGGGAATTATGCCAAAAGTAGCTAGTGCCCAAAAAACCATGAAAAACTAATTTATGAAGAATTTCACATCTAGGGCTTATAAAAACAACGATTAAGAGTCCTCATCTCCAAGAAAAAAAGTAAGAATATTTTACATTTGATTTTGATTAACATATAGACAGTATCTGATAACGTTCTGCCTATAGAGGATCCCAATAAATAAACTGTAAGTTTTTATTTACCATTTGTTGACACTTAAATAGCTGAGCTCAAGTATGCTAACATAGTTAAGGCCATAAACAACTTCAAATGTAAACTAAATAATTACGGAAAAGGAACTCATCTAAGAAGCTAGAGAAAAGAAGAAAAAGTAACAGAATATCACTTTGAATTTATAACTGGTTATAGAATTATTGAGTTAATTAGTCTTGACTTCGAGGACATCAGAATTTCAAATGAGGCATTCATCAAACTTAAATTGGCAGAGTATGCTGTCACATTTGTGGCTGCGATTCAAATAGGTGCGAGTGTCGTTTATAATGAATTGTAATAATTTGAGAAAAAGATGTATGAATTCGAATACTTGCTATTATTGAGATTAAACTACATAACAACTGCTATAAACTGTAAATCATTCTTTAATAATTTTTAGTACTCTTGATCATTTTTCGGTTTCAGATGCATTTGAAATGGTCTATTTCTAAGGGATATTACACCAGAATTGATACATTAGCGACAACAGGACAAATAAAATTTGTTATTATTGAGATGATAATTGTTGCTTTAAATCCATATGAATTCTTACAGGAATTTATATTCCTTGAATGTATTTACCTCATAGATTTTTACTTAAAACTGTAATATAGACTCATCTATGACACATTCTGGTGTCGTTAACTCTACAAATGAAATCATGACAGTCTTAAGTATGTTAAAGAGCTATTTCTTTTTAAGAACTTTTATGTACTTTTCAAGATTCAACGATCCAAGAGCTTAAAGAGTCTGTTAAATGAATGGCTGCAAAGCAACTTCTCTCTTCGCAATAAAAAGTATCATTTAGGAGAGCCCTTACAAACTAACCTCTGTTATTTTTATCTCCTCTGCAGTAGTTAGTGCTTATGCTATGTAGGTATTTGAAAGACATTACTCAAGCGTTTCAGGATAAGATTTCGATTCATTTTGGAACTCTTTATGGCTAATTATTGTCACTATGACAACAGTCGGTTATGGTGATCTATATCCTAAATCATATGGTGGTAGAGTAGTTGGTATAATAACTTGTATTTGGGGCATCTTTTTGGCATCATTCTTTACTGTTACTCTAACAAACTTTCTCAGTTTTACCCCATCTTAAAATAAAGCATATCTTTTACTATAAAGACTATATTGGAAGGAAATGATTTAGAGAGAATCTGTAAAAGCTGTTGCAACCTTATATAAGCATAAATTATTAGCTAGAAAACAGGATATTTTCGATTTAAATACTAAAATTGATCCAAAGTTACTTTCATCAGCTAGGAAATTTAGAAAGCATATGGTTAAGTTCAAGGAAACAACTAGAAAAATGTTTAATTATAATGAAGGAAACACAGAAACTTAATATTTGACAAAGGAGGTTGAAAGATTGAGTTGCAGAGTCGATGAAATGGCTGATGATATGGAGAAATCAAGAAAAGATCAGACGATAATGAATGGCAAGTTAGATCTAATCCTAAAAGCTCTAAATCAACCGATTCCCTCAACTAATGCTCCGAATTCCAATAATTTGTTAACTCCTAAATAAGATGCTAAAAATGCAAGACTTTGAAAATTATAATTATATCAAAACAATATGTTCTTTTCAAATTTTAAGAATTTGATATTCTTGGGGTTTTGGGGTTTTGGGGTTTTGGGG